TTACGGATTATTGGGCCGCAAATTGACAATAAGTGAAATTGACAGAAAAGCGGTACTAATCACCGGATGTGGAAACGGTGAGGATTTTTGTAGTCGGAACGTTAATTGTGATGTTCGGAATAGTTCACGAATGGGATGATTTGAAGAAACAGACAAAGAATCATAAAAGAGTTTGAAAGAGAAGAAATAATTTCCAGGATTTGGCAGAGATTTAGTAAAACGATGTCTTCAGAATGGCCTAACAGTTTTTGCAGGATGCCGTCGTGCCATTGTATGCTTCTAAATTATCCAAACATTTCCTAATCATTTTTATTTGATTCGTCAGCTGTGGGAAAATAATTTCTCAAATTAAAGAAAAAGTTTTCATTTCGCTGCTTTACATGGAATAAAAAAATCGCTAATTAGAATTCATTTCATTCATTCAATATGTTTCATTTGAAAGTTTGCAGAGTGTAAAAGAATTAGAGGAAAGCTACAACTCAATCAGCCAAGGTCGATTGTATGCATTTCAAATGGATGTGACCGATGACGAGAGCGTTCGAAAATCGAGAGAAATTGTGGACAGGGTTTTAAAGCAAAAAAATCTCGGTTTGCATCTCTGTCATAGTGATTATTTTTATAGCAAATATTTCTCCCTCATTTTCTTGATCCCTCGAGCTTGAAATTGTTTCCCAAGAAGTTCAAAGTGATTATAGTGAATAAATATTCTAACTTGTGCTAAAGAAATACTTAGTCCAAAATTGAGAAAGTTAAATTCAGAAGTTTTCAGCGAGCTATGTTAGTGTTGCTTAGAAGTCATTTTATTTATAAGCATTTCTTAGGCTAAATTCAAAAGGAGGTAGAAATTTGAAAAGTTTAACAAAAATATCAAACGTAGGAAAGATCACATTTGTTTGAAGATATTCATGTCCAGTTTTTCACGCTTTAATCAATAATGCTGGTATACGAGGAAATCAGTTTTATGATGATTTCCTTGTTTTTGATAATTATAAAAAAATTGTCAATCACAAACGATTGTAACATTTCTTTCCCATTCTTTTGCTTGTTAAAATTATCTCTCGGAAAAATCCGAAAGTGACGAAATAAATTTTCTTTTTTTAAAAGATGTTCTGTTCTGTATTCAAGAAATGAAGTAAGTCAAAATTTAATGGAATGGAATTTTAGAAAAAAAGGGAAGTGGATTCTGATGTCAAGAGTCAAGAGTCTAAGTAAATAATAAAAAGAAGATGTTATTCTTTTTCAGTTTTCCACGCGCTAGTCAATAACGCCGGAGTGCGGGGCAATATCTTTTACGATGATTTTCTAACTTTGGATGATTATAAAGAAGTATGGGATGTGAATTTGTGTGGCGTGATACGAGTAACACAAACATTTCGAGATCTTATCAAGAAATCCAGGTGCTATTGACATACATTTTCTTTTTAAGTGCTTGACGATATTATGAATATTTCCTGAATTAAAATGCCGGTTGGTCTTTAAAGAAAAATTATAGATTTTTACAACTGATTTCGACGAAAATTGTTTATTCTGAGAAATTTAATAAATTTGCACATTTAATAAGCTTTTTTGAATATAATTGCTCTGTCTTAGATGACCTTTATTGCGTTGTAAATATGTCACCCTTCATTCCCTTTTATGTTCCCTACTAAAACAGACTTCTCCATTATTGAGAATTAAGTATTTTTGCTATTAAATACTGTTAATTTATTGCCTTTCTGAAAAACAAATTTTAGAGGTCGGTTGGTGATATGCAGCAGCGCTATCACACTATTTACAACTCCAAGCCAGGGTCCTTATTCTTGCTCAAAATTTTCTGTCCAGGCTTATACTACTGTTATGAGGTATCAGTTTATCTGATTTTTTATTCGGTTTTGATTTTAGTTGGATTTAAAAATTCAAATGAATATTCAAAATATCTAGAAAATGAATTTAAGACATGAATTACAATCATTTGGAGTAGATGTAATAGAAATTGTTCCGGGAGGATTCCAAACTGCAATGCCAAATTTCGAAGAAATAGTGAAAACGATGGACACGGTATGGCAGCGGGCACCACAAAAATTACGTAACGAGTATGGCCACGACTATAACGAGAAAGGTAATTTTTACTTCCTTCGTATAACCTTCATTAGAAACGCATAGGCCACAAAGGCTGAGGGCAAGCTAAGCAATAATAGCTTTTCTATTGAATTTATTTATATTTAAATTTTTTAGCAAAAAAATTTGCAAAGGAACTGCAACCAAAAATCATGGCAAAAGATACGACATGGGTTATCGATTCATATTACGAAGCAATCGTTGCGAAACGGCCAAAACTTTTGTACCTGATTGGCTGGGATGCGTTATTAATGTAATCATTGTATTTGCAATAATAAAAATAGTGAAAATTACGGAAATATTTGCTAGTTTTAAAATATAAGTATCAAATTTTGTTTGAATCCATGCGGCCGGACTGCCCTTCCATTCGAGGGAGCGATCATTATTTTAAATTATAGTCATTTAATTGTTGTCTTTTTGCAGATACTATCCTTATTCATGCCTTTCATTGCGCTTACAACTTTACGTAATGAAATTCATAATATATATGAATGGAGCACCATTACCATTGATGGCGATGAAGAATGCATATTCAGAAAATACGAATGGAAAAGACTAATTTCTTGACACATCCTAACGAAAACATTTTGCGTCTCTATTGTATCCTTCGATAGAAGCTTTGCAGTGCTGTAAATGCTTTAGCTGAATAAATTAAGCACGAGAGCAAATAATTAAATAAATAACAAGTAACATGAGGTATTAATGAATGACATTAGAAGCATGAAGAAATCCTTCGCATCGAAATCATTTCCATATTCATTGCGCATTTCTTGCGATGATCGATTCCATAAAGCATCTATCATCTGATGTAATTCTCGAGTAACATGTAAATCAGTTTGAAAGGATCCCGGAAATAAAACCGCTACAACTACTCCGTACGGTTCCAATTCGTATCTTCAAATAGTTCTTCAGATATTTCGAAATTATCAAAAGAATACTTTTACAATCTTCAAATCGAAATTCCGAAAAGGATTTTGTTCGATCAATTAAAAAGTCAATAACTCTATGCCTGCTGATGCTAGCATAAGCTTGAAGAGCACATTTTGAAGAAGCATAGGGCCCATAAGGCGGTGCTGGAAACAACGTCGCACTACAACACGTGATGACTCGACCGCCATAATAACTTGAATTTCAGATAGAAAAAAAGCAATCGTGACAACTTTATATGATTTAGTTTATCAATTTGCTAATAATCGTTTAAAAATTTCCATCAAATAAAACCAAAAGATTTCTTGATGAGATCTCGAAATGTTTGCGTCACCCGTATCACACTATATGTATTAACATTCCATACTTCTTTATAATCTTCCAAAACCAGGAAATCATTGTACAACTGGTTTCTTCGAATATCAGCATTATTGATCAAAGCGTGAAAAACTGAAGAAGACAAATACTTTTTTAAACATATAACTGGTCAAATAAAAAGTATTCAGATCATTCATTCAATATGATTTTTAACCAAAAAACAAATTCAGTACTCGGAAAATTCATTTTCACGTCTTCCATTTTTTCTTATTATTCAAAAACAAATGGTTATAATTTTTAGTTTTTGATATTACTTCGCATTTAAAATCTTCCTTTTTCAACTCCCTATTCGATATATTACATATATCGAAAACAACTCACGCCTTAATATTTTTTGGATTTCAATCAGTTATATTTCGATTTTACTGAAAAAAAACTCATTCACTATGATTTAAAAATGTCAACCAATACAATCTTATTTATGCCAGATATTTCAATTTCTCTCACTCCTAATTCCAAGCGATATAGCAGAATTTTCGATTAAAAAATTGATAAATAAATTAAATTTAACCGAAAAGCATAACTAAGAAATGGAAAAATGAATTTTGCAGACTTCTGTTTTCGTCCAAATTGTTCAAAGTATTCAATTTTCGCTGTAAAAAGGAACAGGAAAACAATGTTCTAAAAATTTTATTGAACATCCAGTCTCTATATATCAGAATTATTATGCATGCCGAGACTGAGTTTCCTTTCTCGAAATGCAGTTTCGACAAGCATTCTGCAACGTTGGATGTCATCGTCATCTATCACATCCATTACGACTGCATGTCACTGACTTTCATCATATGTGCCATGAAATTAAAATTTAATCTAAAATTATACTTATATGAACGTCAATTTTATTCATTAGCAAAAAAGCAAACAATGAACTTCTAAAGTTTTCTTTTTCGTTCATTTATTCATTTCATATACTTTGATAACATTCATAAATAAAGCTTCTTATTGTATTACATCAAACTATGTTTTAATTTACATAAATGTATTGAACGCAGCTTTTAAATTTCAAACTGGCAACTTGTAAAACTGTCAACCATTTTGAAGAAATCAGTCTACCGAATACTGGAAAATCATTTCTTCTTTTTACTTTAGTTTTTAGGATTATAAATTTAAAACACAAACTAAATCATTTGTTTACCATAAAGTATTTCTGTCAAATCTCACTGCTTTCCCATCCGGTGATCAGCACTGCTTTTCTGTCAATTTCACTAACTGTCGATTTTTGGTCCAGTAGTCGGTAAAAAGCATAAAACAGTGATGATACAATCCAGTTCAACAATACATGAATAACATAAAGCAATGTTAGTACAATAAATAGTATTGCTCCTGTAAACGCCATTCTTCAATACCACAAAAATATCAAAAGAATAATGTGTGCTATTTTCGAATAAAGAAGTTCTGACAAGATGTGACACAGCTAAAAACTATCACAGTTGAGATGGTTAAATCAAAAAAAAATAATACAGAATTAAGTGAACTGATGAAATTTGAATGTTTTTTTTTTCATCGTTCTTGCTCCTTTATATTGTAATCTCGGCACCCTTCTCCCCGACATATTTTATCGATCTTTAAAAAAATAAAATATTAAATTATTTTATAAAAGTTTAAAATGCATTCTTTTAATGTTTTAAATTATTTTTACTTGATCGCAGCTGAAATTCTTATCCATCATTCGCATCAATTTTTGCATAGACAAAAAAATATATTCAAAATTAAATACGAGAAAAATGACACTGCTAGTTTTGTCGTTTTTAGTAAATATTGTGAAATTTTTATTGTTTTACGAATCAAAAAACAAATTTTTATTGAAATCCAATAGTTTCATCCCAATTTTTAGGCATTTCTAGTTAACATTAAATTACTTTAACGTCAAATAAACATTTTGTCCAGGGAACTGATTGATACTTTGTTCAGTTATCAGTGCAGTATAAAACGGTTTATTTGCAAACACCGTCTAAAGCAATCCGACTTTTTGTAACGATAAAGCCGTAAATTACGAAAAATTAAGAACCTTGAACTTCAAGGTGATTTAATGGTTGCCAATTACTCAGATATAAGAGGGAGTTCAGTTGCTACGCTTGTAAATTCAAATTATTTTTGAAACAAGTTAGTATCACGTCAGGGTAAGGTTTTCCAACAAATTAAAAATTTCAAGGATAAAAACTGATTAATTTTTCCTTGTAAATTTAACTTACCTTGCTCTATTCACCAGTTCTTCATTTCTTTTGATCATTTCCACTCACATATACAATTTATGATAATTTTTAAACAATGTTGGACCATACTTCCATACTTATAAAATTATATCTCACCTTTCGATTAAATTATATCTTACTTTCCGATATTTTTCTCCTTATTACGATCGATTATCATTCTCTGAATGATCATTTTTTCGATAATAAATAAAAAAGCATTCTTATTATCAGTTAAGCAAGGTTTGGCTCCTAACTGGCATGCTTTATGCATAATTTTTCTTCCAGCAAATTTTCACGTCATAATTCTCCACATCATTTTATGTTACCAAAAATTATTCTGCCAGAGATTCTATCTCTTCACAAATCTCTGATGAGATTAAAAAGCATTTCAGATTTGCTTCAGATAATATTTAATTGTTACAGGTAATGATCAATTATCTCTCTGCTCCTATACGATAAAATGATCATCAATATGGCCAATAAGGTAATAATCCTCTTCAACAGAACTAGCTTTTGTCACTTATTATATTATTTTATTTTAAAATTGAAATGCTTTCTCTCTTCAATTTTATTATGGTTTCCGTTGAACGATAAGGGTCGTTGATTACTACAGGTTGAAGCAATAAATGGCTTACATGCTGGATATAAAATAAAAATAGATAATTATAGACTGTTATTATTCCACGATGGATCTGTTAGTTGGAGGATTTCAGTAAAAAGTTATTGGAAGGGATAACAGTTAAATGATTATGTGACGGTCAACTGGACAGGTAAAGAAATGAATCAAGAAAAGTTGAAAAATAATACAACACTGATATTGGCTCAAGCTAATCGGGAAAGAATCTGATAGTGGATGACGTTACTTGTGTAATTGGTAAAATAAATAATAAATTAATTTGTTCATGTGATTCACAAATGAATAAAACGGTTAACGTTTTTAATATCCATAAAAGTTACATACAAATGAATGCTAGTTACTCAATTATATTTTTGTTGTAAAGTGGTAATAGATCTGTTAAAAATCTCAACATATAACTATATTTCTATTTGTTCAAGCTATTATATTGCAATAAGAATTTTACTTCCACATAAGGAATAGAGAATTTATTTATAATAATTATGACAAGCAAAATTTCAATGTAATTTTGTTTCTATTTAAGAAAGCTATGAATAACGCAGGAAATTTCTGTCATTGTTTTTCGATGATATTATCGCTACTCATTGAGAATTATACAGAGTAAGCGAATGCATATAAGTGACATTATTGAATAGCGGCTAAAATAAACTATAAAATAAAGCAATTATCTTCGAAGTTGATCAATTCGTTGGCACAAGATATCAGATGACGATGATTAAAACTTATCTATTTATGAATATCTTGAATATTGCTGAGTTGTTTTAATAGAGTGGTAAAGGAAGGATGAACAAATGCATTTCAATCTTTGCAAGCTTAAATTTTTACAGAAGTCCCCAGCATTCGAGACCTTAATGATACATACAATGATTGAAATATAAAATATTTCATGATGACATCAATTATTTCAATTACTACTTACGATAGTAGATATTGTCAGCATTTGTATGATATACAATTAAAAAAGAGTGAAACTTATTGAGAACTATAATTAAAAATTCCCAAGTAATACTTCTCATTTTCACTCATCCAAATTGCTATTTGCAGTTTTTCTATTCTGTTAATAATTATATGACGCAATATAAAGCCTTGCATATCTGTAAGGCTATTAAGCGACTTTTACTTAAATAGATGGTGGAAACAATTAGACATAAAGTAACAAAGATGTTAATGGTAAATCAAACGTGGGGAAATTGCGAAATCACAATGAGCATAACGAAATATCGAGCAAAATTGTCTCAGTAATAAATGTCAGAGGTGGGAAAGGTGCCATAAATTTTTTCTTCTGTTTCCAGCTAGTTGTGGCTTTAACGGCTTGTCCCTCTCGCATCCAAAATTTCGTTCTTATTAAGCACATACATGAAAGATATTAAATGACCAGTTAATTCCCATATCATTTCAATTATTCTTCCAATTCTTCAATAAAACCTTTGTTCAACCATCACTCTTTACATTAATTGCAAGCTTTAATCTCCGACATAATTCTATTCCTTTCATTTCTCACTCGCTTGATTAATTTATTTTTATGCTTATTGTAAGCAGCATTTCCATGCAAGCAATGAAGTTATAGGAAGAAAAATGATAAATTAACTTGTTCGTATGATTCACAAATAATCTTAAAAGAAAAAAACTTTGGATGCAAGAGGGACAGTTCTGTTAATTCCACAACTGGCTGGAAACAGAAATTTACGTTAAGTCTTCAGCAAATTTCAATCAGTTTCAGATATTTGTTTACACTTTCCATATTAAAGTATTCATATTATAATTGCAACTCATATTGTAATTACTTAATTACGCGTATTATTATTGTAATTACTTAACTACTCTAATATAATCATATATCACATTACACACAGTGAGAAATACAATTACTAATTGTGTTATAACTGATTACATTCATATAACTTTTTTTGTGTTTTATTCCAACCAATATTTTCTAGACAGATGCGAATCACTTTTATCTTTTAGTGATAATTTACAGAATTTT